TTATCTATAAATTTAGATTATCTTATTGTAATATTTGTGAGTTAGTGAGCGCCTAAAATTTCAATAACAGAATTTTCTTAAGCAATATTACTGCTAAATATTGAATTTGATATCTACATAGTAGATAGAGTATTTAAGACTATAACTCCCCCTGAAATTGAAGCATAATTATTAGAAAAGTAGCAATTTGCTATAGTTAGATTCGAATTGGAAACTATATGAAATACTCCACCCACTTTGCCTTGATTGTAGGAGAATTTTGAAGAGTCAAAAATAATTTAAGTTTCCTAACCTTTTACTACTCCTGCTTAATACCCTGAATTGTATAAAAAAATTGATTTATAATCGTATATTTTTGTATTAATCAAAGTAAAAACTCCTCCATCATTTGATGTCCCACAATACTTAAATGAATTTTAATAAGAATTTACCTGAATTGCATTTTAAATTAGAAAATAACTATCAATAGAAGATATATAATTTTCATCTAATAGCTAAAAGGATTTATTCTAAGATGTCTAAAATGAATCACAAATGAAAGTAGATCTTTTAATTTCAATTATTATTTACTGAAAATCTGAATATAAAAATGCGCCAGCTGCAGATTTGAAATCTTAAAAATGTGAGTCTTCAATTTATAATTTTAATCCTTTTTAGATACTAATGAAGCCTCCTTATTAATTTGAATAAGATGAAGAAAGGCTTATATTTTTCAAGATTATATGAAGGTTAGGGTTATTATAGGTACAAAAACCTCCTATCATAGAAGATGAATCTATTTAAAAACTATTCATCAACTAAAATTTAGAAATAGTGCTTGATTATGAATCAGATTATTTAGAATAAAAAAATCCTCCTTCTAATGTAGCCTTATTGCTATGAATTTTTATATTCTCTAATATTATTTATACAGTATTATCTGCATAAATAGCTCCACCTACAGTAGCTTTGTTATTCATAAAAGAAGACTAGTTCATTTTTAAGATGCATGAATCACATGATATAGCTCCCCCAAATGGTGCATAATTATTTTTAAAAGTAGAGTTAAAATCAGTATATGATGATTTAACAATATTAATTACTGATCCTTTATTAGGAACTTAACATTCTTTAAAGTTTGAAGAGTAGCTCTTCAATCCAAATATTGAATCCAGTATATAAATTACTCCAATATTCTAATTAGTAAAAAGCTCACCACCATCTGCATTATTTTATTAGCACTGAATTGTAGTATTAATAATAGTGAGATTAGCATATGGATGAATACTTTCTATCAGTTTAGATATCTCAGGATAATAAAATCCTGTAATAAATGAATTTTCAATTATAATATTATTTGTAATTCCTGGATAATTTGAATAAAATGCCAAACCATTTGCAAAGATTAGTGGCTAACTTATATTTCTCATAAACATATTGTATATCTGTAATCTAGAAATATCTGTATAAGATTTAATTACTGCTAAACCATAAAGATTATCATTTTTAATAAATATATCCTCTAAAATTAAATCTCTAATTATAAGTATTACTGGATCATTGCTAAAGTATGTATCTGTGTCAATTAATACTCCTTGAATACGTCTCACGGAAAGATTTTAATGATATTAAAATGAGTTCATTAAAGAATATATAGATGAAATCTAAAATTAGATATCTTAAATAGAGTTATTCCATGAAAAAAGTTTTAGAATATATCCTGATATTAATGTGGAAAATTTGGTTTTTTCAACAAAAATATTATTCATTATAACATTAACTGGGAAATAATCTTGCTATATTTATAGCAAACTTCCTTGTGTTATTGCGCAATTAGTAATAGTAATGTTATTCATTTAAATTTAGGGAACATTTTCAAGAAAATAGAGAGTTGAGATTAATTCAGATTATTTGTATATACTATCATAATCTTCTAAACTAACGATTTTTTAACTTGAGTCATAAGGTAACTAATAATTTTTTATTGTATTTATTTTGAAGCACTAAAAATATGCCTAATTGATAAATGCTGATTGAACTAAGTTTTTAATTTAGACAAAACTTGAGGTTTAATTGCTATCTCGAATGTTAGCAACTTGAGAATTGTGAATTTCAAAAATATATGCATTTTATAATAAAAATCCATTAGAATATAATCCACTTGTAAAATTAAGATTGATATCCCTAGCAATTAGAATTCCATAATAGTTATTGAAATAAATCAAGCTACCATCTTATGATTAGATATTGAAAACATTAATATTTGTCATCCAAAAATATTAAAGTTTGGGATCAGTATAATCGTAGAAAAAGCTTTAGTAAAAGATTGCCCCATATTTACCAGCTCGCATATATCTTAAATTTATGTTTGATAAGCTTGAATTACCAAAGACAGTATCAATATAAATACCTGCCCCAGAATTTATCGCTGTACTATACTCTATGGTGACATTTTCTAACTCAATAAGACTTGTCTAGTATAAATAAATAGCTCCACCATATACAGCAATATTTCTTGTGTAGTTAGAGCCAAAATCCAAAAATCTTGAGTTTTTTATAGAGACTGCGCCTCCATACTTTTTCTGGTAATTATTTAAAAATTCATTTCGATAAAATTAAACAATTAAAGCATCAGTAACATAGATAGTGCCATAAGTTTCTGGTGAATTAATATTTAGTAGCTACATCTCACTAGGAAAAGTGAATTAGATATTTTCTTAAAATTTTGAATCAGAAATTAGTATCTCAGTGTTTAAACCTACACTGGAAATGCATGAACCATTTGGACTTTGGTATTATGAAAAATCAGATTTTGATATATTTATTGATTAGGCATTTTGGATATGTATCACTCCACCCATCATTTTAAAAGCTTAATTTTAATTCTGAATTTATTAATCTATGTAAACATCTAAATTAATTGAATCAATGTACATTGATCCACCATAATTTCTGGCAAATGTTTTAGTTATTTTATTGTTTTACTTAAATATCAGTGTCTCTACCCCTCTTTATTACGATTCATTATTTAAATTGAATAGATTTTATGAATCCTTATTTAATATTATGGATTATGATTAGACTTATCAGTCCTTAAGATTTTAAATAAATATAAAGCCTCCATTATTATAAGCAGACGAATTTTGAATAATATTTTGAATAAATTCAATTTCTGTTTTGCCACTTACTGAAACACTTCCACCATTAAGTGCAAAATTATTTGCAAAAGCAGTTCTATTGAAAACAGCAGAACAATTAAGACAGTAAATAGCACCTCCATTAATTGCTTGATTGAATTAGAACTGTGATCCTTAATCATTTAAAGAAGAATTTACAATTTTGAATATCCCTCCTTCTGATCGATTTTAACAATTCTAGAATTCACTTTAGTTTATTGAAATACTATGGACATTATATATTTCAAGCGGAGTTGATTTTATTATGCCAAAATTAATGTCAAATATGTCTATCAATGCTTCTTAAACAAACTAAATTGATAAGAAAGAAGTGTCAAATGAATTACGTTTACACATAATTTATATTTAATCTAAGATTATATTTTAACCTTTATCTGTAAAGATGATTTAGTTCTAATAAATGTTTTCAAATATAAGCTGCATTAGAGTTAATGATTAAAAGTTGTTAAGGTACAAGAGAGTATTTGAGACATCTTAATCTTGAAATGTAAAATTGCATTATTCAATAGCTATTCTAGAAAATTAAGATTTGCTATAAAAAAAGCTTTGCTTCTAAAAAGTCGATTAAATATTTGGATATATCCATGTAGGATCATCAATAGCTGCTAATTTAATATCATTTTCATTTAAACTGATATCAATATTTTACTCTGAATAATCATTAATATCGATATAAGCAAATGATCCATTTGCTGCAGAAAAGTTATCAAAAGCTGAATTCTATATAATCAACGAACAATATGAGACTTTTGAACCAAGAAAAACAATGCCGCCAAAAGCTAAGTTCACTAAATTACTTACTTGAATATTATTAATAAAAATTCTAGTCCAACCATTAATCTAATTAATTATTCCTGATTATTAACTATATATTCTATTGAAACTTGAGTTATTTATTTCAATAAGGATACTTTCATTGAGACTTTAACTAATTATTCCATTCATTCCAATTAAATATTCAAATTTTGAATGTAAAATGCTAACATTGTGGCAATTTATTTCACAATATAATAATCTTAGAAGTTCAAGAGTCTCCTTGGAGAAAAATTAATTTTAGAAGTTGATTTTTTATACTTATTTGACTTTGTCTAAATAAGTTTATTAAATTTATTACTCTTCAATAAATTCTTCATAGCCCTCTTAATCAGGATAACCAATTATACTTCCACATGAATTTATATTTTAAAATGTGGAGTTGGATATCTCGACTTACCCTCCAAAGTTATTCATTTCAATCAAGGCGTTGAAATTATACAAGAAATTTTTGAATTTCATATTCTAAAGTCATATCAATATATATGTTTTAATTTACCTCTAACTTTAGAATTGGAGCGGATTCCAGCATTATCTAAGAGCTGATGCCAAATTTAATAAATGACCCAAATTTTTGGCTTTTCAAGCAATTAAGTGATCTAAAATACCATAAAATAAATAAAGCTTACGGTAATTAATTAACATAGCAAATTTAAGGTCCATTAATGATGTATCTTTATGAAGTTTATTAATATTCTGATTGGCAGCAACTCTCTGTATTAGACTTTAGACACTAATATTCATATAATTCAAGCAATGTCTCGTTTATGTTACCCTCTCTTACATCCAAAATTGAATCGATCGCGTCAAATTCTATATTATTTATAGACAATCCAGCTCCAACGAAGAAGCTGAACTTATCCCTTAACTTAAAATAAACTTTAGTAGGAACAGAGTCTAAAGTATCAATAATAATCTTAGTTGATTGAGAAATGTCAGAAATTTCAAATTCTTCAAGATTTGAATTGTATCTGACCATTGAATGAGTTTAGTTGGAGAACAAAATTATTCTGATTGTTGCTGATTCGTATGAGGATCCTATTTTATAGGCTTTTGATAAAGCATAAAGGATTGAATTAAATGGATAATTAAAAGTACCATCTTAGAAAACTTCACCACTCTCATCTTTTGATTATACATAAATTACATGATCAAGTTATCCTTGCTTTTCAAAGCAGGTTCCAGTGTTTTTTCCCTCTGTCAAAATAAGATAGTAGCCTTTCATGCAAGATTTACACTCTTTTTCTAAGCTACATTCAAAACATGCTGAGCCACAGTCTAGGCATTCTGTTTTTTCTATCATTCCTTTGTAACCAAAAGTCAGATTTCCATATCTTCCGAGTCCACAGTTAGAGACACAAATATTTGTTTTTGGATCAACATAGCCATTTAAACAAGCTTTAATTGATATTTACTACAAGATTTATGTTGATTCATTAAGTGATAGAACACATCTAAGTGTCTTTAGTAGATCTTGATCTTAATTTAAGCATTCTAGATTAAATTTTTGAGCATGATGATAAATTGTTACAATAGCACAGAGTTTGGTTGTCTATTTAATAAGTACTATACCCATATTTACAAGTTTAGCATTCAAACTAAGATGTAGCAACTAAACATATATTTGGTTAAATATCTAAATAAATGATTGATATAATCTTTGATCATACGTGGTGAGCATATATCTTGATAGCTTCAAGCTGATTCATTGAAATATCCATTTTTATTAATATAATAGCCTTCTTAGCAAAGAATACAGTTAGATTAAAATTTCAAGTCATACGCTATGCAATATTAAATATGATAATATGGTGAACTAGTCAATGGATCTATGAAAATTAGATTCTAATTTTTACAGCAAGAGTTATCAGCATCGTTCAAAGTAAGAGATCTCTGATTTACAGAACCATTGCATTCAATGCAATATGATAGATTCTATTTGGAACATTTAGAGCATTCAAATTAAGTATGACATTCTAGAGACATAAGTTTGAGAATAAATGATAGGTAATACATTGGCAAATTTAAAATTTTGGAATGTAAATCTCAACATTAGTTGAATTTGAGCTTACCCAGCCTTCATAATTTACTTCTCCTAAACAAGTCAGGCAGCCTAGAGATTTGTCACAAAATGAGCAGAATAGACCACAACCTTAATAAAATGCTGAGACAAAATTAGATGTTACTTTTGCATTTAGATGTAACTTGATTATTTGAATAAGAAATATGAGCTTGAGTACAACTTGGTACACAATACGAGTAGAGATTATTCAACATACCAAAAGTTTAATTTTCACTGAGCAAATAAAGCCCGTTTTCGCATTCTTGGCATTAAAGCATATTGATTACTTTTTAATTTGAGAAACTAGCTTAGCATCTATTGCATCCATGTATTATTTGGAGCATTCTAAAATTGATTATGCATAAAAACTTTACAAATGCAAAGATCGCTTTCTAAATCATAGAACTCGTTGACCTCACCTAATAAAATAATCTATCATTTGGTTTACAATTGCTTTCAACAGATACTCAAATCAACGTTATGAAGATTAGTATTGATAGCATATGTAGCCTTAGTTTTAAATACATCTTTATACCTTGGACTATTAAAAATTATTAAGGCATATAAAGGTTTCTATTTTTAATGATTTTAAATCACACCTATTTTTTATCAATTTTATGTTGGAGGGGTTTTGGGGTTTTGGGG